TCCTGGAGTAGAAGGACGACTTGGCCGAGGCTAGAGTGGAGCGGTAGATTTTGAGGAGGTCCAGCCAGATTTGTCGGTGGACCGTTAGGCCAGATTTGACAGGTGCGTTCAGCGGCCCGCACCTGGCTCTTCAGTGAGCGGAGGTGGGTGGTGAACCAGGGGGAGGAGCGAGAGTAGGAGACAGTACGGGAGTGATGGGGGCAAGAGTGTCGAGTGTGGAGGAGAGGGTGTTGTGGAGGAGGGTGAGAGGAGAAGAGGGGTCAGTGAGGGTTGAAGGCCAGAGGGAGAGGAGTTCAGAGGACTCCAAGGCATCGGTTAGGGATTGTGGGGGTAACTTCTTCCAGGGCGGTAGAAGATGGTGGTGGGTCTGGTGGAGGTGGGGAGGGGGGTGGAGGTGGTGAAGGAGATGAAGTGGTGGTCGGAGATGGCCTTGTCGGTATAGTGACATCCGAGACACTGAGGCCCCGGGTGATCACCAAATCGAGTGGGTGGCCGTGACTGTGAGTGGGGGAGTTGATGTGGAGGGAGAGGTTGAGCGAGGAGAGCAGGGAAGAGAAGTCTGAGGAGATGGAGCAGGAGGGGGTGAAGTGCAGGTTAAAGTCGCCCAGGATGATGAGGCGATCAGAGCAGAGGCAGAGAGATGTAGAAGTGTTGAAATATGAGATGAAGGTGGGAGAGGTTTTAGGGGGCCGGTAGAGGAGGAGGATTTTAAGGAGAGGAAGGAGGGGTGGGAGAGGGTGAGGTGCTCAAAGAGGGGAAAGAGCCAGAGGAGTAGGGGGATAGGGCAAGTGGTGTCCTTGAGATAAGGGCACACCACCGCCACGGCGGTTGGGGCGAGGGATGTGGTGGGAGGTGTAGCCGGGTGGTGTGGCCTCCGTGAGGGGGAAGGTGTCGCCTGGGGTGAGCCAGGTTTCCGTTAAGGCCATGATGTCAACGCTCTCATCAAGGATGAGATCGTTGATGACCAGGGCCTTGTTACAGAGGGAGCGGACATTTTGTAGTCCGATGTGGAGGGAGCGGTTGACAGAAGGGTGTGTGGGAGGGGAGGGGGTCCAGGTTGTGAGGCAGGGGTGGGGGAATGGGGATGAGGGAGGAGAGGTTGGCTCCCCGGGTCTGTGTCCGGGGTGGCTGGCGAGTGTGGTGGGGAATGGGGCAGTCGGTGTGGCTGCTGCTGGACAGCCAACGCCGAGTGCCACGGTGAGCCCGGCGGAG